ATGTCAGTCTAGAAAATTGTGCAATGTGTTAATTTTTGAGTTATATTAAATACCAGCAGATAATTTCATAAAGGAATTATCTTTAAACCATCAGTTTATTTTAATAGAGATGTCGAGGATAAACATACTCATAAAATCATAAACTATGAGACTAGAATGTAGCACTAAAGGTTAACTGACACAAGCATCAACCCGATGCACAAAGTTCCTCAACGTTTCTATATTCTTTTTCCCAATCTTTAGTCACTTGGGAAGCTAGAGTTCCTAAGATTATGACAATTTCATACTATCCTTTCATATTTATATCTGATTATATTCTTAAATTACCTACCCATGAAACAAACAATTTTCTGATGTAAACAGATGTACATATTCAAACGCAGTAAGCTAAAAATGTAGAAAACAATCACATCAAAGAAAATGGTGGAAACGTTTTGTTGTGCATCCTCCAATCATTTGTCTTTACATATATTTAACAGATATGCCCTTATACTATATAAATGTTTTTATTTCTTCACATTATACTAACTTAACATTATAACATGAGCATTTCTTATGCATGATTTTTAAAGACTTTTTAGTACTGTATGATCAACTACACTTACTCATTCACTTGTGGTGAAAGATTGAGATTGCTTGTATTGTTACTATAGATATGACTGCATTAAAAATCCCTGTGCATAGTCACTTTAGGCATCAGTGAGCTTAACTGGTAGTTCTTGAACATAAAATGTTAGCAAATGAACTAATAAATTAAGGCTAAGGAAAAAAATTCAAATATAAGAACGCTGCATATATCTTTTAAACTTTAATTAACCAGAGAACACAAAGGTCATCTGGAAATAACAGGATGCTATGCTTATTAAGAAAATTCACCATTTTGCAGTCTTTCTATATTTTGGAAATGCCCAGCATTCTTTTTAAAATCAACTGTATTGAGGTATATTTTACATACAATAAAATGCATACATTTTCAGTGTAAAGTTGAAGTTTTGACAAAGATAAGTAGCATATAACCATCACCAAAATCAAGATATAAAACATTTGTACTGCCCAAAAATTATCTTCTTATCTTTTACATACCTTATAAACATTACCTAATTTTTAACAGTCAGTTTTTGTTTAAGGAAATTAAGAAGAGAAAAACTTAATCTTTTTATTACCCAGAATTTAACATTTCTAAATCTCTGTATTGAGTTCTGTAGTTCTGAGTTGCCTTCTGGCATGCTTTTCTTTCAGCCCAAAGAAAATCCTTCAGTATTTCCTATACTTCAAGATGGCCTCCAACAAAATCGGCTTTCGTTTACATTAAAATGTCTGCATTTCACATTAGTTTTTGAAGGATATTTTTATTAGATACAAAATTCTGAATTAAAATTTCCCCACATTATAAAGATACAATTTCATTTTCTAGCTTCCATTATTTTTGATGTGAAATCAGCCTTTATTTGTATTATTGTTCCCCTGTATGTAATATGACTTTTCTCTCTTGGCTGCTTTCAAGGTTTTCTCACTTAAATTTTCAAATCACATTCATATTAAAGTTTGAATATGATATATCCAGATACAACTTTCTTTGTGTTTATAGTTAGCTGCTTTTTTTTGGATGTGAAAGTTAATGCTTTTCATCAAGCTTGGAAAATTTTAGGTCATCTTTTGTTTAAATATTTTTATGCCCCATTCTCATTCTTTTCTCCTTTGGGATTCTAATTACATGTATGTTAAGTCTGCAAATTTTCCTTCAATTTTTTTTCTACTTCTGCTGTAGAACAGATTATTTTTATTGATCTCTTAAAATTCACTGATACTTCTGTAATCTCCAATCTGTTGTAAAGTATAAAACTTTCATTTTATTCTATTTTTCAGTACTAGAATTTCTATTTCCTTTTTGTTTGTTTCAATTTACCTGCCAAGATTTCCTATCTTTTCACTTATTGAGGTCATATTTTCTTGTAAGTCCTTGATCATATTCAAAATAGCCACTTTAACATTCTTATCGGCGAAACCCAACACCTGAGCCATGTCAGTGTAGGTTTCCATTGATTACTTTCTGTCTTGGCTGTAGATATTTTCCTGTTTCTATAACATACCTAGACATTTTTAATTATATACTGGGCAATATAGATGACAGGTTATAAAGACTCTGGACAACTGCCTTCCTCTGAAGGGTATAGATTATTATTCCAGCAGCAGTTTAAATTTTTGATGATCACCTTGATTTTCGAGCCTTGCTTTGTTACGGTGGATCCATGGAAAGCCCTAAATATTTCCCAACACTCTCTAACTTGGCAAGATTGAAACTGTAAACTTTTTTTTTCCTCAGCATTCTGTGTAAGCTTTGTTCTTGGTTTTATACGGTGGACACAAGATGCTGAATGTTAATATGGTGTTGCCAAGGTGTTCAAGAGGTCTCTCCATCCAGGTGGGCTAGAGCTCCAATGCCTCCCAGCACTGCTTGACCTCTAGAATCCCTGGCCTCCTCTTAGTACTAGAGAATCTTCTCTCTCTGATACGTCCCACTGTAGCATATGTGACTTAGCTATCAATTAAGAACTCACAGTAAACTCCCTCACAAGCTGGGCCACTGCTCACTGCAGCAACCCCTCATCTGGTGCCCTTTCCTACAGATTCTAGCTGCTTTGACAACTTGCCCTTTCAGTTCAGGACTGCCATGTTCTTCTTGAGCTCCACCTCCACGGAGCTTAGTTTGGAAAGTTCCCCAGGCACAAAGCCATGGTAATAATGGAGCCAAACTTATGAATTTTCCTTCTGTCACTTGCCTTCTATGATGTGTGCTGTTTTCCACCATATACAAGTAGTTGCCTCATATAGTATTTAGTCGAGTTTTAGAGTTATTTATGGGGAGAGGGCTGGTCTGGCACCAGATGCTCCACCATGGCCAGAGGCAGAAGTCCTCCCATATGGCTTACTCATATTTTTTTCTAAAATTAATCTGTACAGTATCATATCTATACGTCTCCTTGATTTTTTCATTAACATTTAAACTGGTGAAATAACTACAACAGTATTCACTTTTAACATATTCACTTTTAAATATCTCTAGAATTTTGAGCCTCCGATAAGTTTGAGAAATCACGAACCAATACTAAATTAGTCTTATCACTTTTTACTCTTACCTTCAATTTCTTGAGTTGAGTTACTACATTGTGGTTCTAGAACCATCAATGTTGCTTGAACTGTAGAACCCTAAAAAATAAAATCCAGAAGATACTGGGTTATATACTAAATGACTCAAAAAATAAAAGCTTAAAATGCAGTCTTTAAATACTGATTGCAAAATATAAAAAATATTAATCTTCATTGGGTTAATTCATATGTACTTAAATTTTTTAAACATGAATGGCAACAAAAGAAAAATATAATTTTAAGTTTAAATTAAATTCCACAGGCAATTATTAAGTATCTATTATGGGTAAGCATCTGAAACATTTCTTTTGCAGCATAATTTTCAGACTTAAGAATATTCCTTGCACACTTTGAATGATAATTATTCAGATCTCCACTTTGAGAGAGGTTTCTCCTTTGTTGAAATTACTTCACAGCAACTTAATTCATCTTTATGTCCATAAAAGATGAGGTAAGTATTAATTGGGAGGTAAAATATGAAGAAACTGCTGTTATTCCTAAAATTCTAAGCTCATTTTCCACCCACAGACACTCCTTGTTTTATTAAACATGCATTATAATTAAGAACATTTGTTAATTCAGTGGCATACCATTTACCTATATTTCCTGAACAATAGACTTAAATTAAAAATTCAACCTTAAGAAGCTCTGTCATCCCTCACTGTATATGATTATGCCAACACAAAATACCATCTGTTTAATTATATATATACACATTTTTCTATTTTCACTGAGTAGCAAGGTTTCTTTATTAATAGAAAATAGTAGATAATAAATTGTACCCTACAGATGAGAACTCATGAAATGCTTGGATAAAAAAAGAGTGAAAAATATATATCTATTCTTGGATGCCACATGGATTATAAAATTTTAAATGCTCCTCTTATTTAGAATAGTGTAAAATTTACATAGACGTTGCCAATATAGTACAGAGTTCCAGCATGCCCTGCACCATTCCCTCTGTCATCTCATGCATTGTCATGGTACATTTGTCACAAATAATGCACCAATATTGATACATTATTATTAACAAAAGTCCATATTTTATTCTCATTTCATTACTATTTTCCTGATATCCTTTTTCTGTTCCAGGATCCATCCAGGATACTTCCTTACATTCAGTCATCATGTCTTCAGGAGTACTGGTCAGGTAACATCTTGCACAATGTCCAGGAACTTGGGTTTGTCTGGTGTTTTCTCATGGTTAGATTGAGTTAAGAGGGGCCCACAAAGAAATGGCATTATTTGCCATCACATCAAGGGTGCATGCTATTAACATGATTAAACGCTGATGATATTAACTTTGATTACCTTCCTGAAGCAGTATTTGCCAGGTTTCTCCACTGTAGAGTTACTTTTTAACCCATTTCCACTGTGGTTTTGGAAGCAAGTCATTACAGCTAGTCATATGCAGTCATATGCAAGTGATATGCAGCTAGCACGTAACAGTTTAAGTGTTAAGCTCCACCTCCTTGAGAGAAAGCTTATCTACATGTGATTTGAGATTCTTGTTTGAGGAAGATATTTTCTTTTCCCCTTTTTTTTTCTTCTCCTATTTATATCATTATGAGCTCATAGAGATTATTTTGTATTTTGAGTTATAATCCAAAGCTACAGTATTTATTTTCTTGCTCAAATTGTTCCAAATTGAGCATTGTGAAGCTCTTTCAGGCTGATTCCTGTAATGAATCTGACTCCGTTTTTTTTGGTGTTTGACTGCTAACCGCTTTTAAGCCTTACCCTACCTACTTCCCTTTGTACTCCATATCTGGGCAAGCTGATAAGAATGACTGGGTCCTCCCTCTTTTGGCACTGATGGGAGATTCAAACCACACAAGTTCCTCTTTGCACATGAGGACTCTCACCCTGGCCCCAAATCCTAACCACAATAAAAAACCCCAAGCCAGTCTCCTTCCCTTTCAAACCTGCATGGTAGGCATGTGCTGTTCTCCCCAGAGAAGTGAAATATGTAATAAATATTTTCATACATTCTTGGTGTATATGTATGGCGTCATCATGCAAACCAAATTTAGTTACTGGTCCATCTACCTCTGTAGGTGCCCACAGTAGTTCCTCTGTCCCAAGACATAACCCATTGTTTTCTTCTTGGGCTTTCCTCCTCCTCCCTATCCCCTTCCCCCTCCCCCTCTCTCTCTTTTAACTTTGTGAAGACTTCCTAACTTCCTCACACAACAACATGCTCCATAACTCCAGGCTCACCTTGTATTTTCCCTGCCCAGGCTATAATCAGCCACTTCTGGAAGAAGCCCTACATCCTTTTATCGAAGAATAGTACGGCAAACTGATACCTGAGCACTGCATATACTCATTGGTACTGGAGTGCATTATTTCTAGGCCCACTCAGCAGACAGAAAAAAAAATATATATATATATATATATATATATATATATATATATATATATATATATATGTGTGTATGTATGTATTTTGTAGAATATCTTCTGAATTACAGTTCCATGGACCCAAAAAGACAGAATATAATTTAGCATAAATATAGACTAACAGATAAATTACATTTTATCTTTTTTCAAAGATAGGGCTCTAATTCAGAATTTTGGACATTTGTAGAACTTAAAATAACTAAATTATAGATTTTTCTATAAGATTTAAATAAATATAAAAGTTGCTACACTGTTTATTATCTACCAAAAGGAATTTGAAAACAGATATTAGATTTCTGTCACTTCACAGTATATTTTCACTCTTTTATACACAAACTGAATAGTATTTTAAAATTCTAAATGCTAACCCTATGTCATGCAGGTATGTGAAAGGTCTATATGTTTAAAGAGAAACATATGAGCTCAATGTATTAAAATAAGGTTTTTAAGGAAGTGATTAGGAATCCAGATAGAAAACACAAGATATTTCTTAATGCTCTGAACTCACATTCTAAAACTTTGGTTAGAAGTGAATTCTCAGAACATAACCATATCAGCATAACACTGAAAGACATAATTAAAAAAGAAGCATAAAAATTGATATCTTCCATGTTGGATCATAGAGGAACTTTTCATATATTTTAGTATCTTTTCACTTATATTTCAATATATTTTCACAATAAGTTCATTCTACAGCTTCATGACACAGTAATAGATTCGAGTTAAAAGGCTAATCCATGGCTGTATACCCATGGCATATCTGATAAGAATAAACCAACAGAAAGAAAAAAAGTGAAAAAAAGTAAAAAAACAAAAACAAAAAAACACTTGGTTGGTAATAAATCATTCTTTCTATGAAGGGTTCCCACTACAAAGGTTTGCCTCAGTAATCAATAACCTTGGCTTGTTCTCCAAAGACAGAGCTGATAGGAATGAAACTATATTCTCTGTCCTAATTTGGAGAATATGCTAATTAGTCCTGGGGTTAGACTGGTGTAAGGGATAACTGACAGTCATTTTGGCCACTCAGGACCTTGGGTTTAGTGAATTGTGAGTCTTCCACCTTTCACTATAGATGTCAGATATTACCATCCTTTCTTGTAACTAGGATAGTAACAATACTGCATAGGCTCCATCAATTATATGTACCAATTCTGGATCTTGAACAAAATCTGGTCATGTGAGGAACCATATACAATATATATATATAATACAGACTTTATCCTGAGAATAGCAGCTGCTACATCCAGTTTCCATTTACAGCCATAAAATAGGTCTAAAAGAGCATCCAAATGCCCACTATTCACATTGCCCATGGTAAAGCCTACGGTGGCAGAAATGGCATCTCCTACTCAAATCCGACTTTCTCAAATCATAGTGAATCTACTATCATGAACAGCAAATTTGATAGAGAGAGGAAAGTTATTTCTAAATCCTAACAGCTCCTTTTTAGATAACAGGAAATGAACTCTTCAGAATTTCCACACCAGCATTATCCAAATTGGATTTTTTGGGATAAAAATGGAAGCTGTTAATAATTACCCTGTATAATTATTAACACAGATGTAAATGAGGACTGTCTGGCACAAGTAGGGATGCAGAGTTACCGATAACGTGGAAGAGGTCAGGAAGACCTCCCATCCGATAGCACAAAGAAGCATAAAGGATTCTGTGCCTGAGAAGGAGACAAAGCAAGTGGTCGGATGTGAGTGACCTGGCTCATCTCTCAAACTAAAAATCTAAGTGAAGCGAGTTGGGTGCACAGGATACATAAAGCCAGATCGTTCAGGGATGCTCCAAATGTAGACTAGACTTGTTCCTAGCTTTTCAGGAAACAGTCTAGGAAACTGCTGCCTCTTAAAGACCTTCATATTTTGCATTGTGCTGGAAAAACATAACAGCCTCCGGGTGGTGTCTGAAAATTCACTGAAGGAGGCGTGTCTACATTGATAGACCTTAAGTGGTCTCCAAATTGCTCACAGCTTTCATCTGCAGTCCAGGGAAATCATGAGTCTCAACATGTGTCAGAGGGGTGCATTAAAATGTTCACACTTGAAACACTGGACCAGAAAAAGAACAGCAGCCAGGACAATGATCAGGCCACAGGTGTTACGGATTCCCAGATGCTGTGGCAGAAGCCATGGATTTAGCAAAGTATGTTAGATTCGCACACAAAGGAACCACCGGAATCATGTGCCTCAGTACCAGGAATATGACCACACTAGTCACACTCCATAAGAAAGCAAAGGCCAAGAGGACAAAATGTAGACTGCAGCCCATATGGATACATTAAGCGCCCCTTGTACTAGGAACCACCTGGGAAAGAATGAGAAGAGGGTGCCATTTGAAGGCAGAAAATAGCACTGATCATTATGTTTTAGCTAAACAATCGGCTAATATAGCATTCAAACACCCTGTGTTAAATTCAAAGAGACTGTTCCAACACAAAAATATCTAAATAGTCTTTAGTAGCAGATTACGTTTTCTTTAGCCTTCAGCAGCAATAGGGGTTCAAGGACAAAATAAGTTGCAGATAATAAAGATAGTTCTTTGCGCATCTGAATGGTCGTGTGTAAAATTCAGCTTTTCCTCATAGAGCAATTTAAGTTTTTGAACATGTTTTCATTTTATCTCCATTTAATAGGTGAGAAAACAGACA